TTAAATTGGGCAGCCTGGTTAATCTCACGTGACGGAAATCATGGGACCAATAAGGAAATTGGTAACAGTTCATAGGGAATTTACATGGGGGAAAGGAACAGCAGAAGGTATTCAGTAAAACAAATAAACAATAAAATTATGTTTGTATAGCGCTTTTCACGTTGGGAGAACGTCCCAAGACGCTGAACAATCAGTGTTTTGGACCCGAGCTGGGGGTCAGGATCGGGGAGTTTGGAGGCCAGGGGGGAAGGACGGTGACTGAAAGCACGGACAAAGAGGAGGATCTTGAGACAGGTCTTGAAGGAGACATGGGAGGGGGCGAGGTGGCGGGACTGTGGGATGGCGTTCCAGAAGGTGGAGGCCAAAACTCTGCAGCTCATGTATTCTCACGCACCAGGCTCCGTGACCCCATCACTCCCACTCTCGCCCGACTCCACTGGCTCCCTCCCCAATCCCCCAGAGGATCGAGTTCAAGATCCTCGTCCTCACCTTTAAGACCATCCATGCTTTGGGACGTCCTCCTGACGTGAAAGGCACTCTATAAATGTAATTTTGTTGCTGTTGTATGATTATGGGGTGTGCGATGATATGGGGAGTATGATGTGGGATGTGATGTGATGTGTGATGTGGTGTACGATATGGGTTTGTAATTTAGTGTATGATGGGGCATATGTAATGGGTTGTATGATATAGGGTGTATGATGGGGTGTATGATATGGGGTGTGATGTGGAGTATGATATGGGGTGTGTAATGGGGTGTATGATATCTGGGGTGTGATGGGGTCTATATTATCGGGGGTGTGATGGGGTTTATGATATGTGGTGTGTGATCGTGTTCATGATATGGTGGGTGTGATGGGGTGTATGATATGGGATGTAGAATGTGGCCTATGATTATGGGTTGGTGGTGTGATATGGGGTGATATAAGGCCCATTTTTGCCTCAAATGCCAACTGCAAGGTGATGCTGGACTTCCTCGAATCCAAAGTCGAGGGAATGCGCTCAGCTGCCTCTGCCATTGCATCTGTTACTCCCTCCCAATCTCCTCCTCCCACGCCAGCCCCTACCAATCCCTCCCTCCACACCTTGAACCTGTCTCCCCCTCCTCTCTCATGACCACCATAACACAGATGAAACTGACCACCTGCTCCCTCGACCTCATCTCTAGCCCTCTCCTTACCTCCCAGCTCCACCAACTTGCCCCTCTAATTACTGATATCGTAAACCTTTCTCTGTCCTCTGGTACTGTTCTCACCCCATTAAAAAAACACTGTCATCACTCTTATCCTTAAAAAACGCTCCCTGGACCCTTCTCTACTCCCTAACTACCGCCCTATCTCCAACCTCCCCTTCCTCCCCAAGTTCCTGAAACAAATTGTTGATTTTCAGCTTTGCTCCTTCCTCTCCCGCCACTCCCTTCTCGAATCTCTCCAATCGGGTTTCCAAGCTGCCTACAGCACAGAAGCAGCCTTGGTCAAAGCGACAAATGATATTCTGTCCATCTGCAACCAGGGCTCCCTTTGCCTCCTCATCCTCCTTGACCTCTCTGCTGCTTTTGACACCATTGACCAATCTATCCTCATCCGTTGCCTCTCCTCTTACCTCAACCTCCACGGCTCTGTCCTTGACTGGTTCAGATCATACCTCTCACACCACCTCCACTTCATCTGCACAAAAGGCTTCTCCTCTAGCACCTGTACTGTCGTGGGCATCCCTCAGGGCTATGTACTTGGTCCCCTCCTCTTCAATATCTATATGCTCCCTCTTGGTGACATTATCTGCAGTGTTAATTGGGCACCAGTATAAAGCTGGGGGCTGGGAGTATAGGAGGAGAGTCTGGAGAAGACTGATGTACCGAGGTACAGCTTCCTTGTCAAAATAAACCTTTCTTTTTGTTTAAACTGTTGTGCGAGTTTTGTTTTCTGGGCATGACCATGTAGGAACATATGGTGTCAGAAATGGGATCAATTTTGGCTGTAGACTGGCAACCTTTGTCTTTTGTGAACTATGACTTGTACATAGAAAGAAAAACAAAACCAGTAAAAATGGAGCAACTGTTGACCCAGCATGTGGCATCGCAGCAACTGTTCCAACAACAATTCATACAAATCCTTGCTCAATGACTGGGAGGAGCTATTGACTTAATCCAAGTGGGTATGTCTTAATCGAAGTGGGCTGCTAACTAAAATGGGATAATGACTGCCGAAACCTTCCTCACAATCTTTGAAACCTTTGAAACTGTGGAGTTGAACTGGCTCCTAAATGACATGACTGTCAACAGACTGTCGGAATCGAGGCCACCCTCCGTTGACCTCGGGAGGTGCACAACAACAACAAGATTCCATTTATAGAGCGCCTTTCACGTCAGGAGGACGTCCCAAGGTGCTGGGAGGACGTCCCAAGGCGCTGTACAGTTGGGTCAGGACCCGAGCAGGGGGGAAATGGTCAGGGTGAGGGAAGGAAGGGAGCGAGGAGGGGGTAGAGAGTCGAGAGGGGAGCTGAAGGCACGGTCAAAGAGAAAGGTCTTGAGACCGGCCTTGAAGGAGGAAAGGGAGGAGCGGCGAAGGCACTGGGGGATGGAGTTCCAGAGCCTCGGGGCTGAGAGGCTGAAGGCCCGGCCACCGATGGTAGGGCGGTTGGGGCGGGGGATGTGGAGCAGACCGGAGCCAGAGGAACGGAGGGTACGGGCAGGTAGGTAGGGGGATAGTAGGTCGGAGAGGTAGGAGGGAGCAAGGCCGTGAATGGCCTTGTAGGTGAGGATGAGGATCTTGAATTCGATCCTCTGGGGGATGGGGAGCCAGTGGAGGCGAGCGAGGGTGGGAGTGATGTGGTCCCGAAGCCTGGTGCGGGACAGTACACGAGCTGCAGAGTTCTGAATGACCTGCAGCTTGTGGAGGGAGGTGCCGGGAAGGCCGGCGAGGAGAGAGTTCCCATAGTCCAGCCTTGAGGTGATAAAGGCGTGGACCAGGTTTCAGCAGCGTGAGGGGTGAGGTAGTGCCGTAGTCTGGCGATGTTCCGGAGGTGATGGAAGGCGGTGCCAGTTGTGGTGCGGATATGAGGGAGAAAGGACAGCTCAGGGTCGAACAGAACCCGAGGTTCCTGACTGGCTTTGAGAGGTGGAGAGTGCAGCCTTGGATGCTGATGCTGTCAGCGCCTGAGGTGCGGAGGCGCTGACGTGAGCCAATCAGGAGGGCCTCAGTTTTGCGCACGTTGAGCTGAAGAAAGTTGTCTCTCGTCCAGGACTCGATGTCGGACAGGCAGCTGTCAGGACATCGGGGGTCGTGGAGTTGAGGGTAGAGGAGGAAAGGTAGAGTTGGGTGTCATCCGCATACATGTGGAAGTTAACCCCATGTCTGCGGATGATGTCACCAAGGGGGAGCATATAGAGGGTGAAGAGGAGGGGACCGAGGACAGAGCCCTGAGGGACACCGCACGAGACAGTGCGGGGGTGGAGGAAAAGCCATTCGTGGAAACAAAGTGAAGAGGGTGGGAGAGGTACGACCTAAACCACTCAAGGACAGGGCCTTGAAGGTTGAGGTGGGAGGACAAGCGGTGGAGGAGGATAGCGAGGAGGACAAGGAGGCAGAGGGAGCCCTGGTCACAGATGGTCAGGATGTCATTGGTGACCTTGACCAGGGCAGTTTCTGTGCTGTGGGCAGCACGGAAACCCGACTGAAGGATTTCGAATAATGAATGGGTGGAGAGGAAAGAGCGCAGCTGGGAGGCGACAACTCTTTCCAGGACCTTGGACAGGAAGGGGAGTTTGGAGATGGGCCGGTAGCTTGATAGCTGCGACGCATCAAGGGAGGTTTTTTTCAAGGTGGGAGTTATGGTGGCAGTTTTTAAGGGAATGGGAACAGAGCCAGAGGAGAGGGACAGGTTGACGATGTCTGTGATATGTGGGGCAAGGAGGTGGAGCTGGGAGATAAGGAGTGGAGTGGGGATGGGGTCAAGGGAGCAGGTGGTGGTTTCAGGGATAGGATGAGTTTGGTGACAGAGGGTGGGGAAACGGGTACGAAGGTGTGTAGGGGAGGATGGGTAGGAGTCGGAGTGTGGGAGGGAGGGGGTGGGGGTGGGTGGATGTTGGAGGGGAAGTGACCGCGGAGCGAATTCCCTTGATTTTGGATTCAAGGAAATCCAGCATCTCCTCGCAGTGAAGGTTGGAGGAGATGACCTGCGCGGGTGGCAGGGGGACGGAGGAGTCGGGATGTGGTAGAAAACAGTAGCCTGGGGTTGTTCTTCGCCTCCAGGATTATCCTGGAGTAGAAGGACGACTTGGCCGAGGCTAGAGTGGAGCGGTAGATTTTGAGGAGGTCCAGCCAGATTTGTCGGTGGACCGTTAGGCCAGATTTGAGGCAGATGTGTTCAGCGGCCCGCACCTGGCTCTTCAGTGAGCGGAGGTGGGTGGTGAACCAGGGGGAGGAGCGGGAGAGGGCACATGCGTGTGAGATGGCGCGAGGGAGAGGGTGTGTGTCGGAGGGAGAGAGCGTGTGTGCAGGAGAGGGAGTGTGCGCGTGTGTGCAAGTCAGGGAGAGGGTGTGCCAGTGAGGGCGAGTGTGCGAGTGAAGGCGCGTGAGCCAGTGAGGGTATGTGTGCCAGTCAGGGTGCGTGTGTGGGCGCTTGTGCCAGTCAGGGCGCGTGTGCGGAAGAAGGAGTGTGTGTGTGTGAGGGAGAAGGAATGTGTGAGGGAGGGGGAGTGTGCATGAGGGAGGGGGAGTGTGCGTGAGGAAGGGGGAGTGTGCGAGGGCGTGTGCGCACGAGGGAGAGGGTGCATGTGCGAGTGAGGGTGCGTGTGCAGGAGAGAGAGTGTGCGGGAGAGGGAGTGTGCGCGGGCGCGGGAGGGAGTGCACGGGAGAGAGTGTGAGCAAGGGAGGGGGAGTGTGAGCAAGGGAGGTTAGAGGGTATATGTGTGTGTGCGTGAGGGAGAGGGTGGGTGGGTGTGTGTGGGCGAGTGAGGGAGAGTATGTGTGAGTGAGGGAGAGGGAGAGTGCGGGAGAGGCAGAGCGCGCGTGCGGGAGAGTGAGAGTGCGCGGGAGAGGAAGAGTGCACATGTGCGGGAGAGGGTGAGTACAAATGGAATCTTGTTGTTGTGGTGTGTGTGTGTGTCTGTGAGGGTGAGGGTGTGTGCAGCAGAGTGTGTGTGTGCGGGAGAGAGTGAGCGAGTGAGGGTGAGAGTGAGTGAGTGAGGGAGAGAGTGCGCGAGTGAGTGAAGGAGAGAGTGCGCAAGCGAGTGAGGGAGAGAGTGAGCGAGTGAGTGAGGGTGCGAGTGAGGGAGAGAGTGCGCGAGTGAGGGGGAGAGTATGCGAATGAGTGAGTGAGGGAGAGAGTGAGCGAGTGATTGAGAGAGAGAGTGCACGAGTGAGTGAGGGAGAGAGTGCATGAGTGAGGGAGAGAGTGAGCAAGTGAGGGAGAGAGAGTGTGCGGATGAGTGAGGGAGGGTGTGGGTGTGTGTGTGAGGGAGGGGGAGTGTGTGTGAATGAGGAAGTGTGTGCGGGAGAGGGAGTGCATGTGTGCGGGAGAGGGAGTACGTGCGTGAGGGAGAGGGAGTGCATATGTGTGGGAGAGTGAGTGCGTGTGTGCGGGAGAGGGGGTGTGTGTGCAGGAGAGAGTGAGTGAGGGAGAGAGTGCGCGAGTGAATGAGGGAGAGAGTGCACGAGTGAGCGAGCGAGTGAGGGCATGAGTGAGTGAGGGAGAGAGTGCGCGAGTGAGGGAGAGAGAGAGTGCGCGAGTGAGGGAGAGAGAGAGTGCGTGAGTGAATGAGTGAGGGAGAGAGTGCGCGAGTGAATGAGTGAGGGAGAGAGTGAGCGAGTGAGTGAGGGAGAGAGTGCGTGAGTGAGTGAGGGAGAGAGAGTGCGAATGAGTGTGTGAGGGAATGTGTGGGCGTGTGTGTGAGGGAGACTGTGCGTGTGAGTGAAGGAGAGTGTGTGCGAATGACTGAGTGTACGTGCGGGAGAGGGAGTGCGTGTGTGTGCGGGAGAGGGGGTGAATGTGTGCGGGAGAGGGGGTGCGTGTGCGCGGGAGAGGGAGTGCGTGTGCGTGGTGGAGGGAGTGATTGAGAGAGTGCGCGAGTGGGTGAGTGAGGGAGAGAGTGTGTGTGAGGGAGACTGCGCATGTGCAGGAGAGGGAGTGCGTGTGTGTGCGAGAGTACGTGCGTGTGTGCGGAGAGTTGCGTGTGTACGTGTGAGGGAGAGGTGTGTGCGCGCCTGCGGGGGTGCGCGCGACAGAGTGGGTTGGCGTGAGGGACGGGGAAAGTGGGCGCGAGGGATGGGGAAGGTGGGGGCGAGGGACGGGGAGGGTGGGGACGAGGGACGGGGAGGGTGCGTCGAGGGACGGGGAGGGTGGGGGCGAGGGACGGGGAGGGTGGGGACGAGGGACGGGGAGGGTGCGTCGAGGGACGGGGAGGGTGGGGGCGAGGGACGAGGAGGCTGTGCGTGCGTGTGGGAGAGGGAGTGTACATGCGTGTGTGCGGCAGTGTGCGCGGGAGAGGGAGTACGTGTGTGCGGGAGAGGGAGTGCGCGTGTGCGGGAGAGAGAGTGCGCGCGTGCGGGAGAGGGAGTGCGCGCGTGCGGGAGAGGGAGTGTGCATGTGCGGGAGAGGGAGTGCAGGAGAGGGAGTGTGTGCGGGAGAGGGAGTGAGGGAAAGAGTGCGCGAGTGAGGGACAGACTGCGTGAGTGAGGGAGTGCATGTGTGTGGGAGAGGGCGTGTGTGTGCGGGAGAGAGTGAGTGAGGGAGAGAGTGCGCGAGTGAGTGAGGGAGAGAGTGCGCCAGTGAGTGAGAGAGTGTGAGAGAGTGAGCGATTGAGTGAGGGAGAGATTGCGCGAATGAGTGAGGGAGAGAGTGCATGAGTGAGGGAGAGCGCGCGTGAGTGAGGGAGGATGTGGGCGTGTGTGTGAGTGAGGGGGAGAGGGGGTGGACGCGAGGGACGGGGAAAGTGGGCGCGAGGGACGGGGATGGTGGGGGCGAGGGTCGGGGAGGGTGGGGGCGAGGGACGGGGAGGGTAGGCGCGAGGGACGAGGAAGCTGTGTGTGCGTGTGAGGGAGTGTGCATGCATGTGTGCAGCAGTGTGTGTGTGTGCGGGAGAGTTTGTGCGTGTGTGTGGAGAGTCGTGTGTGGAGGTCGTGTGTGCGAGTGAGTGCGTGTGCGCGCCTGCGGGGCTGCGTGCGAGAGAGGGGGTGGGCGAACACGAGGGACGGGGAGGGTGGGCGCGAGGGACAGGGAGGGTGGGCACGAGGGACAGGGAGGCTGTGCGTGAGTGTGAGAGAGAGGAAGTGTGTGTGCGACAGTATGTGTGCAGGAGAGGCAGTGTGTGCGGGAGAGGGAGTGTGTGAGAGGGCATGTGTGTGCGGGAGAGTGCATGTGTCCAGGGGACGGAGTGTGCGCGGGCGAGGGAGTGTGTGAGGGAGAGTGTGTGTGACTGTGTATGTGTGTGACTGTGTGTGGTGTGAGTGTGTGCCCGCTTGCGTGAGAGGGAGAGAGAGTGTGTGGGGGGGAGGGAGTGCGCATGTGTGTGTGTGTGTGTGAGAGAGAGAGAGAGAGAGAGAGAGCGTGCGCGCGCAAGAGGGACGCGAGCTTGTCAAGCGCGAGAGGGGTGAGCGAGGATGCGCGCGATAGAGGGTGAGCGAAGGCGGGCGAGCGCGCGTGCGAGAGAGAGTGTGAGAGAGAGCGCGTGAGACCTGAGAGAGAGAGACTGAGAGTGTGTGTGTGAGATAGAGAGAGAGAGTGTGCGCGCGTGCGTGAGACAGAGGGTGGGGGCACGGTCGCAAGCGAGACTGAGAGTGGGGGCGTGCACAATTTGGATGTTAAACAATTGTTTCCTTTATTCCAGCTCAACAGAGAAATAAACCACAACCACAAGACACAATAATGGCAACTACCAAGCTCCCACACGATCATTAGCGAAGCACCTGTGAGAGCAGCAAGGTGCGCGCGAGATTAACAGATCAGCATCAGATCTGCATCTCACTGATCTTGGCTAAACTACCTTCACGACACCCACAATTCTTATCTGTGTACGTGAGGACGTGAATGCAAAGCTTCTTTGTCGCAGGCTCATGCATGTTTCAACAGTGCACACCGCAAAACCATTCCGATTTTTGTTTATTGTATGTTAACGAGTGGGGTCGGGAGGTAAAACCAAGGATATGTTATCTGTGTGGCGTGCCAGGGTCCATGAACTATTCCTAAGTGTGATCTGTGAACCATCTGTGAGATAAATCAGGTCTTCTCTCCTGAAGCTCGATTCTCTCACAATAGCAAAACCACTCATGGTCACCAGATGTCTTCAGTATTTTTCAACAGCGTAAGCCTTTCATTTTAACTGCTTCCTTACAAGGCAGACCATATAAATTTGCCAAATGTGGAAAGCGTTTCACAATGTCAAAGAAACTACAGAGACAACAGCGATCAAGCAGGGGAGAGAGACCATATAAATGTACCAAATGTGGAAAGAGTTTCAGAATATCGAGGAACTTCCAGATTCACCAGCGATCACACACAGGAGAGAAACGGTATAAATGTACTGAGCAGGGAGAGAATTTAAAATATTCAGGGAACCTCCAGAGACTCCAGCGATCACTCAAAGGAGAGAGACCGCATAAATGTACTGAATGTGGAAAGAGTTTCAAACGTTCAGGGGACCTCCATATTCACCAGCGATCACACACAGGAGAGAGACCGTATAAATGTGTTCTATGTGGAAGGAGTTTCACAACGTCAGGGCATCTCAAGGTTCACCAGCGATCACACACAGGAGAGAGACCATACAAATGTGCTGAATGTGGGAAGAGTTTCACTCAGTGTGGGGAGCTCAAAGTTCACCAGCGATCACACACAGGTGAGAGACCATATAAATGTGCCGAATGTGGAAAGAGTTTCACATGTTCAGGGAACCTCAAGGCACACCAGCGATCACACACAGGAGAGAGGCCTTATAAATGTACTGAATGTGGAAAGAATTTCTCACAGTTAGGACACCTCCAAAGTCATCAGCGATCACACAGAGGAGAGAGACCGTATAATTGTGCTGAAAGTGGAAAAAGTTTTACATGTCTAGGACATCTACAGATTCACCAGCCATCACACAAAATAGAGAGACCGTATAAATGTGATGAATGTGGAAGGAGTTTCACAATGCCATGGAATCTCCAGAGACACCAGCGATCACATATAGGAGATAAACCATATAAATGTGCTGAATGTGGAAACAGATTCACAACATCAGTGGAATTCAAAGTACACCAGCGATCACATACAGAAGAGAGACCGTATGAATGTGCCGAATGTGGAAAGAGTTTTATTCAATTAGGGGAGCTCAAGGTTCATCAACGATCGCACACAGGAGACAGGTTTTATAAATGTGCCAAATACAGAAGGAGTTTCACAATGTCCAGGGACCTGAAGGTTCAGCGATTACATGCAGGAGAGAAACTGTATAAATGTACTGAATGTGGAAAGAATTTCAAAGGTTCAGGGGACCTCAAGGTACACCAGCGATTACACACAGGAGAGAAACCATATAAATGTATTGAATGTAGAAAGCATTTCACAACGGCAGGAGAGCTCAAGATCCACCAGCGATCACACAAAGGGGACAGACCGTATAAATGTGCCGAGTGTGGTAAGAGTTTCAAACGTTCAGGGGACCTCCATATTCACCAGCGATTACACACAGGAGAGAGACCATATAAATGCGCCAAATGTGGAAGGAGTTTCACAACCTCAGGACACCTCAAGGTACACCAGCGATCACACACAGGAGAGAGGCCGTATAAATGTGCCGAATGTGGAAAGAGTTTTACTCAGTGTGGGGAGCTCAAGGTTCACCAGCGATCACACACAGGAGAGAGACCGTATAAATGTGCTGAGTGTGAAAAGAGTTTTACATGCTCAGGAAGTCTCAAGCTACACCAACGATTACACACTGGAGAGAAACCGTATAAATGTGCCGAATGTGGAAAGAGATTCATTCAGTTAGGGCACCTTGAAAGTCACCAGCGATCACACACCAGGGAGAGACCATATAAATGTGCTGATTGTAGAAAGAGCTTCAAAACATCAAGTGAGCTCAAGGTACACCAGCGATCGCACAGAGGTGAGAGACAGTATAAATGTGCCAAATGTGGAAAGAGTTTTGCATGTTTACAGAACCTCAAGGTACACCAGCGATCACACATGGGAGGGGTCATATAAATGTGCCGAATATTGAGATTCACTCAGTCAGGACAACCCCAAAGTCACCAGTGATTGCACACAGGAGAGAGACCTGACTTCACCCAAGTTCCAAGCTCAGTTAGAATGCACTTGCCTCTGATTCAGAAGGTTTAAGCTCTTCAACCAGGCTTGTAACTCTTACAGTCTAAGTTGCTGCTCCAATGCTAGGGGGACTCTGCATTGTTGAAGGTACTGTCCTTTGGATGAGGCATTTAACCAAAGTCCAGTCTGTGCCTGCTCAGGTGGATATTAAAGATTCTGGAGGGCTATTTGAAAAAAGGGAGTTTCTCTCTCCCGGTGTCGTTGACCGACAATCCCACAGATAAAACCGGTCATTCACTTCATGGTTGTTTGTGGGGACGTCGCTGTGTGTTGTGCATATGCCTGAAAAATACACGGTCGCTGCACTTTACAGTGTGTCCTGTGCAGTGCATTATTTCTCAATGATGTGCTAAGGCATTGTAAAACTACAGAACTGTACATGGAGTGAGGTGGAAACTGAGTGAATTTTTTAGTAATTTGGAATTTGGGTAAATAGTAGTCCAGAAATAGGAGCGATCAGACAGGGGAGAAAAGTAAAGCAGGCTAAGGCGGTTTTAGAGTGCATGTGTGTAAATACACAGAGCCTAACAAATAAGATTAGCGAGCTGCAGGTGCCAGTTGCCACATGGGGTTTTGCTATGGTGGCAATAACAGAGACCTGACTCAAACAAGGGCAGGAATGGGAACTTAATATTCCTGGCTACAATGTAGTCATGAGGGACAGGAAATTAACAAAAAGGAGGAGTATAGTAGTATTGATCAAATATACTGTGATAGCCCTGGAAAAGGATGATGTGCTGCAGGTTTCAAAGACAGAATCTACTTGGTTAGTTTAGGAGCAGAAAATGAGCTGTTACACTGGAGGGTGTATACTGGACAATAGACTGCAGCATATCCACTGCCTTTTATGGTTATTGACGTTCAACCTATGTGTAGAGGGAGCTAACGAGGGCGGACTGATTGGAGTTCCAGTGTTAATTGGGCACCAGTATAAAGCTGGGGGCTGGGAGTATAGGAGGAGAGTCTGGAGAAGACTGATGTACCGAGGTACAGCTTCCTTGTCAAAATAAACCTTTCTTTTTGTTTAAACTGTTGTGCGAGTTTTGTTTTCTGGGCATGACCCATGTAGGAACATATGGTGTCAGAAATGGGATCAATTTTGGCTGTAGACTGGCAACCTTTGTCTTTTGTGAACTATGACTTGTACATAGAAAGAAAAACAAAACCAGTAAAAATGGAGCAACTGTTGACCCAGCATGTGGCATCGCAGCAACTGTTCCAACAACAATTCATACAAATCCTTGCTCAATGACTGGGAGGAGCTATTGACTTAATCCAAGTGGGTATGTCTTAATCGAAGTGGGCTGCTAACTAAAATGGGATAATGACTGCCGAAACCTTCCTCACAATCTTTGAAACCTTTGAAACTGTGGAGTTGAACTGGCTCCTAAATGACATGACTGTCAACAGACTGTCGGAATCGAGGCCACCCCTCCCGTTGACCTCGGGAGGTGCACAACAACAACAAGATTCCATTTATAGAGCGCCTTTCACGTCGGGACAGTTGGGTCAGGACCTGAGCAGGGGGGAAATGGTCAGGGTGAGGGAAGGGAAGGAGCGAGGAGGGGGTAGAGAGTCGAGAGGGGGGGGTGAAGGCACGGTCAAAGAGAAAGGTCTTGAGACCGGCCTTGAAGGAGGAAAGGGAGGAGGCGGCGAAGGCACTGGGGGATGGAGTTCCAGAGCCTCGGGGCTGAGAGGCTGAAGGCCCGGCCACCGATGATAGGGCGGTTGGGGTGGGGGATGTGGAGCAGACCGGAGCCAGAGGAACGGAGGGTACGGGCAGGTAGGTAGGGGGATAGTAGGTCGGAGTGGTAGGAGGGAGCAAGGCCGTAAATGGCCTTGTAGGTGAGGATGAGGATCTTGAATTCGATCCTCTGGGGGATGGGGAGCCAGTGGAGGCGAGCGAGGGTGGGTGTGATGTGGTCCCGAAGCCTGGTGCGGGACAGTACACGAGCTGCAGAGTTCTGAATGACCTGCAGCTTGTGGAGGGAGGTGCCGGGAAGGCCGGCGAGGAGAGAGTTCCCATAGTCCAGCCTTGAGGTGATAAAGGAGTGGACCAGGGTTTCAGCAGCGTGAGGGGTGAGGTAATGCCGTAATCTGGCGATGTTCCGGAGGTGATGGAAGGCGGTGCCAGTTGTGGTGCGGATATGAGGGAGAAAGGACAGCTCAGGGTCGAACAGAACACCGAGGTTCCTGACTGGCTTTGAGAGGTGGAGAGTGCAGCCTTGGATGCTGATGCTGTCAGCGCCTGAGGTGCGGAGGCGCTGACGTGAGCCAATCAGGAGGGCCTCAGTTTTGCGCACGTTGAGCTGAAGAAAGTTGTCTCTCGTCCAGGACTCGATGTCGGACAGGCAGCTGTCAGGACATCGGTGGTCGTGGAGTTGAGGGTAGAGGAGGAAAGGTAGAGTTGGGTGTCATCCGCATACATGTGGAAGTTAACCCCATGTCTGCGGATGATGTCACCAAGGGGGAGCATATAGAGGGTGAAGAGGAGAGGACCGAGGACAGAGCCCTGAGGGACACCGCACGAGACAGTACGGGGGGTGGAGGAAAAGCCGTTTGTGGAAACAAAATGAAGACGGTGGGAGAGGTACGACCTAAACCACTCAAGGACAGGGCCTTGAAGGCTGAGGTGGGAGGACAAGCGGTGGAGGAGGATAGCATGGTCGACCGTATCGATAGGTCGAGGAGGACGAGGAGGCAGAGGGAGCCCTGGTCGCAGATGGTCAAGATGTCATTGGTGACCTTGACCAGGGCAGTTTCTGTGCTATGGGCAGCACGGAAACCCGACTGAAGGGGTTCGAATAATGAATGGGTGGAGAGGAAAGAGCGCAGTTGGGAGGCGACAACTCGTTCCAGGACCTTGGACAGGAAGGGGAGGTTGGAGATGGGCCGGTAGCTTGATAGCTGCGACGCATCAAGGGAGGGTTTTTTCAAGGTGGGAGTGATGGTGGCAGTTTTTAAGGGAATGGGAACAGAGCCAGAGGAGAGGGACAGGTTGACGATGTCTGTGATATGTGGGGCAAGGAGGTGGAGCTGGGAGATAAGGAGTGGAGTGGGGATGGGGTCAAGGGAGCAGGTGGTGGTTTCAGGGATAGGATGAGTTTGGTGACAGAGGGTGGGGAAACGGGTTCGAAGGTGTGTAGGGGAGGATGGGTAGGAGTCGGAGTGTGGGAGGGAGGGGGTGGGAGGTGGGTGGAGGGGGAGTGACCGCGGAGCAGATTCCCTTGATTTGGATTGAAGGAAATCCAGCATCTCCTCGCAGTGAAGGTTGGAGGAGATGACCTGCGCCGGGTGGCGGGGGGGACGGAGGAGTCGGGATGTGGTAGAAAACAGTAGCCTGGGGTTGTTCTTCGCCTCCAGGATTATCCTGGAGTAGAAGGACGACTTGGCCGAGGCTAGAGTGGAGCGGTAGATTTTGAGGAGGTCCAGCCAGATTTGTCGGTGGACCGTTAGGCCAGATTTGAGGCAGATGTGTTCAGCGGCCCGCACCTGGCTCTTCAGTGAGCGGAGGTGGGTGGTGAACCAGGGGGAGGAGCGGGAGTAGGAGACAGTACGGGAGGTGATGGGGGCAAGAGTATCGAGTGTGGAGGAGAGGGTATTGTGGAGGAGGGAGAGAGGAGAAGAGGGGTCGGTGAGGGTTGAAGGCCAGAGGGAGAGGAGTTCAGAGGACTCCAAGGCAGCGGTTAGGGATTGTGGGGGTAACTTCTTCCAGGGGCGGTAGAAGATGGTGGTGGGTCTGGTGGAGGTGGGAAGGGGGGGGTGGAGGTGGTGAAGGAGATGAAGTGGAGGTCGGAGACGGCCTTGTCGGTAATAGTGACATCCGAGACACTGAGGCCCCGGGTGATCACCAAATCGAGTGGGTGGCCGTGACTGTGAGTGGGGGAGTTGATGTGGAGGGAGAGGTTGAGCGAGGAGAGCAGGGAAGAGAAGTCTGAGGAGATGGCGCAAGACGGGGTGAAGTGCAAGTTGTAGTCGCCCAGGATGATGAGGCGATCAGAGCAGAGGCAGAGAGAAGTAAGTAGGGTAGAAATATCAGAGATGAAGGTGGGAGAGGTTTTAGGGGGCCGGTAGAGGAGGAGGATTTTGAGTGAGAGGAAGGAGGGGTGGGAGAGTGTGAGGTGCTCAAAGAGGGGAAAGAGCCAGAGGAGTAGGGGGATAGGGCAAGTGGTGTCCTTGAGATAAGGGCTACACCACCGCCACGGCGGTTGGGGCGAGGGATGTGGTGGGAGGTGTAGCCGGGTAGTGTGGCCTCCGTGAGGGGGAAGGTGTCGCCTGGGGTGAGCCAGGTTTCCGTTAAGGCCATGATGTCAACGCTCTCATCAAGGATGAGATCGTTGATGACCAGGGCCTTGTTACAGAGGGAGCGGACGTTTTGTAGTCCGATGTGGAGGGAGCGGTTGACAGAAGAGTGTGTGGGGAGGGAGGGGGGTCCAGGTTGTGAGGCAGGGGTGGGGGAAATGGGGATGAGGGAGGAGAGGTTGGCTCCCCGGGTCTGTGTCCGGGGTGGCTGGCGAGTGTGGTGGGGAATGGGGCAGTCGGTGTGGCTGCTGCTGGACAGCCAACGCCGAGTGCCACGGTGAGCCCGGCGGAGGATTCCCAGACTGGAGCAGAGGGAGGTTGTGGGAGGTTCAAGTGGGGATAGAAGGCGAGAGGGACGGAGAGAGAGCAGGACAGAGCGGGAGAGATGCAGAGGGGGGAGGGTTTGGGGGGGGAGAGGAGGGAGGGAGGGGGTGAGGGGGTGAGGGTCAGAGCGGCAGCCATAATGCGCACGCGGGGACCGGGAGTGAGCGGTCAGTTGGATGGCATTAGCCCATAGGCAGGCTGGCTGGCTGGTGCCTGGACAAGGAGGTGCCTGGACATTGGTGACATTAGGGGGAACAGAGATAATGGTGGTTCTTAGATCCTCCCCAAGACCCTTTAGGTATCGTCAAGAAGGGAAGAAGGAAAGGAGGATATCTATGCCTGGAACAGCCTGAAGTCACCCGATCCTGTCAGATACTGGAAGCGAAACAGGAGCTTCCGTTGTTTAAGCTGTCCGACAGCCAACCATCCCATAATGAGCCCTGGGACCCTAGAGAGAGTCCAGAATATTAGAGAAAGGACAAAGCGGCGGTGG